CAGTAGCAGGGATATCAGAGTATAAGGGCTCTGTGGGGGGGGAGAGGCTGTGGGAGGGTGCCATCTGGGAAGTGGGTGTATAGTTAAATAGGATGGTTTGGGTTGTTCTGTGTGGTACACACACACATGCACACACACACACACACAAAATCAACAAAATTTTAAAAATGTGTTATATTTGAGGAGGAAGCATGGAAATTTATGTCATGTTAATTGGTAAAGGTGATAAACATTACCATTGAAATCTACCCGATGACTTTATAGACATACACAGGTGCCAAGAAGCCAAGTGCAACTGACTATGACTAGTAATAATCAGATACATACAGATTAGAGATGCATGCATCAACATCTCAGTGTTAATAGCAAAAGCAATGAGCCTTTCTACAAGGAACAATATATTCTAAAATGAAGTAGAGATCTTTTTTAAAGGCTAAAAACTCATTCTATTTTATGTCTTACAGGGTTTGTACTGAGTTCAATACTGTATAACTGTATTAATTCAACTGTGAACCTAAAAACTTACAGCCACTTGTGAAGGAGATGTACTCTTGCTCTGGAGTGTGTTACTGAATATGTTAAAGCTGTAATGAAATGCTTCTTCTAATCATGTAGGTATTAAAATTTTTTAAAAAATAGGTATCATGGTACACACTTGTAAATTCAATGCTGGGGCTCACTAGCCAGACAGCCTAGCCTAATCAGCAAGTCCCAAGCCAATGAGAGACCCTGTCTCAGAAAGCAAGGTGAATGATACCTGAGGAGGAAAAGCTCTTGAGATTATCCTCTGCACATGTACAGCTGCACACACACACACACACACACACACACACACACGCACGCACGCATATACACATAAATACACATACACAAAAATGGGCTTATAAAAACAACAACAAATTAATGAACCCCCAGTGTCTATTGTCTGACTCAGTCTTCCCTTGTCTGTGTTTCACAGGACTCCCATAATTAAAAATCAAAGCAAAAGTTCTCCAGAGGTCAGGGAGAACCAGAGGAAAATAGTGTCTTCTGGACATGACAGGACCACTGTACTTGTGAGCTCATGGTATCTGCGGTTGTCTACATAAAACCGAGACAGTCAACATTCTAGCATTGAAAGGAAAGGGGTTCATGGGACCCCAGCCCTAACTGAGGAGTTAAAGAGAATTTATGGCTTCTAAAGGAAGGAGGCTCAGTTTTCTCTAAGAGTGTGATCCTAGAGTAGGTTGATTACTCTCTGGTGGATGGCCCCATATCACAAACTAGACTAGGTAGATGAGAGAGAGAGAGAGAGAGAGAGAGAGAGAGAGAGAGAGAGAGAGAAATAGTATAATACTGTACAGCACAGTATGTCTGCCCACTCAGGTAGAGATGGATCTGGGAGAAATAGGGAGTGAATATGATCAAAATACATTGGATGAATTTCTCAAAATTAATAACATTTTTTAAGTTCTTAAATCTATAGTACAATCTTTAAGTTCACTTCTGAACTTTCAACCTTTGTTTCCAACTACCAAGGTCTTCTCCATCTGGAAATTCCACACATGAGCACCTCAAAGATGGCATATCCCAAATCCTCTTTCCTTCTCTCTTCCCTCCAAGCCTAATCACCCAATATTCTCAATCATTCCTAGAGATAACCACCCACTCACTTTCCTAAAAGAACTTTACCATCACCTTAGGGGCCCTCCCTCTCCTTGTTCTTATTAAAGTCACAAAACATTGTTAATTCCTCTTCTAGGGCATTAAGCAGCAAACAGAAGCCCTCTTGTACAATCGCACTGATTTTTCCCTATCTCCACACCTAATATGGAGTATGTGAGCTCCCTGGCTAACTTTCCATCTCGATTATTCTCCATTCTTCTGCAGCCGCCACTCCCATCATCTTTCTCACACACCATTATCTAATCATGCTTCAAAACCTTGGATAGTTCCCTGGACTCTACAAAATGAAGCCTACTTGCCCTGCTTTGACAAATGACTATAATGTGCCCTGATGATACCTTTCATCTCTGATACACGAACTGCACCCTGGCCACTCTGGTCTAAGAAGCCTTGCTTATTGATGCCTTTTGTGTGCTTTCACATCTTTGTGCTTGTTCTTCCCTGGACTTAGAGATGTCTTCTTTTCTCCTTCCACCAGACCTTTCCTGAAACGAATACTCTGTTCACTCTTCTAGACTTCCATTCAGATTATATCTTCTCTTGAAAGCTTTTCAGAATGACCCTATACTCAGGACTCCTCTAACACTTTGCACACACCCAAGCAACAGCCCTGCACAAACTCTTTCCTAATTATTTATGCTTTTATCACCGCTGCCAGAATGTCAACTACTTTTTAAAAAGACACTCCTGTATTTTATTCATCCTTAAATCTGCTGTGCCTCCCTGCAAACACTGCACATAAACATTGTTGAATGAATTGGCTGAAAGTGCTTTGGTAAAAATGTAACACATTATCCCCCCAATTCTGTAGACCTCTGTAGCTAAAATCTCATTTCTAAGCCCTCTCTTTCTGCATACCTATTGGCACACTATCACAGGTCTCAGGAGGGTCAGTTATTCATAGGCAGCTAACAAAGTGCCTGCTATTTGTAAACAGGGCCATTTGTAAACCCTCTGGGCTAGATTTAGAGATTGCCTTTCCAACTCTGACAACATTGCTTTGAGCATTCCACTCTAAGAAGCATTTCTTTTCCAAATGTCTGGAGTCCTATAAGTAACCTTTGTTTACTCTGAAACACTTTCAGAGAAGCTGAACAGAGCTAAAAAAAAAAAACAATGTAGTGACCCTACAGGGACCCACCTGGCCAGTGGCTCGTGCCAGCTTAGGAGAGGGGGTGGGGGCTTCAGAGGCTCAGCTCTAATCCCTACCCACTTCTGCTGCTAACAGCTACTTAACTTCTTGGACATCAGGGGCTCTCTGCTCCCCAGTGAAGACCTTGGCAGCCCATTAATCATGAGCTTATTCAAGTAAAACAGCATCATAAGCAAAGTGATAACCTGAGTGCCTTGAAGAACAGTGGGTAACAAATTAGCCTAAGATTAGGGTGAGACACTCATTTGAATGGAGCCCAAAGGAACAGAAAACCATGGCAGTTCCCAGCCTCAGGTCTTTCCTTTACTGCTCTCTTGGCTTGAGATTCTCCACCCTGGAATATTTATATTCAGATTTCTGCTCTAATGTCACCTGCCAAGGGGCATCCTGGGGACCCATGCCAAAAAAGCTAGCTACACAGTTATTCTCCATCTTCTCCTCCTGCTCTCTCTGCCTTCACAGTACCTACTGGCACTCTATGGTACCATTAAGACCTGACACAATGTAAGAACCTATCTGTTTACACACTAACCATTGTCTTCCCCGCCAGCCCAGGGGGCAGGGATGTTGTCTGTGTCTCATTCCCAAACAACTCAAGCACATAGGAGTCTCACAATGAATGTTACATTATTTTGAGTATGCAAAGTAGAATACAGGACCTCTTGTATTTGTAGACCATACAATTCCATGTGTGATGGGGTAAAATGCTTAATATGTGGGACTTCCCAGTTTGCCACCACCCCACTCTTCTGCCCACCCATGTTGCAGTGTGCCACGATGGTATAGCTTCTCTGTCTACTCTTAGTCCTCCCACTGACCAGGAGAGAATGGACATAAGGGCCAAGGAGGCATCTCCTGAGGAAAGCAAACAAGAAAAGAAGAATCACATGCTATACTGATATCTGGAAGTGATGATCAAAACTGGAGGAATATTCAAGAAGCTAAGTTTGCAGGGGGAGCATAGCATCGACTTATGAGCTTGGGTATGATGAAAGAAAAGATTAGTAATAAAACACTACAGTGTGTACATGTGAACCTCCTGAACATAAGAGGGGCCTCCAAATGAGAGGCATTGGTGTCCTGGTTATGTGACAGTGTGTCCCTGTATACCTTCCTTTCCTCATCAGAAATGGAAACTGGCCCCAATAGGAGACTCGGTGTTGAGCTAAGAGAGATAACCCAAGCTAAAATATCAGAAGCCCCACATGCCAGCTGAGGACTCTGATCCTCAAACCTGGTCTTCCTTCTTCAGGAAGTGTTGTGGTTCCACAGGCTAGAAAGATGAAATTAAGTCAAGTAAGCACTGACCACCTTACAGTACAGTGATCTTGGCGCAGCTTGGCTCTGAATGCAGGTACTCACGGTTCCGGGGTGTAGAGGGGGTCGGAGCCATGCCGCACATACTGAGTACAATGGAACACTCTGTAGGCCAGGCCTGCCAGGAAGTCTCGTGGGCTCAGGTAGCCAGCTACTGGCCTCACAGTGAAGCCAGACTGCTCTAAAGAGACAACACAAAGAGCCAATTAAATGCAAATCTTGGGACCTGAGGGCACACACATACGTCCCACTTATTTGTAAGGATGTTCTAGACACAAAGTAACCAAGGTTCTGAAGCACCCGACAAATGGATTGACATATCCTGTTAACAGCTACACATTTGGGGATTCTAGTGACAGGAATATTCTCACAGATGATCGTTTCCAGGGGAACAAGCTGTCGATTAGAAGGGAAGGGTAAAAATATTTTTAGGGACTTAAATTCAGAAGCCAAACTATGGGTAAGAAATTTCAAATACACAGCAGATTATAACCTAAAAAGATATTTACCACACAATCCCCATAACTTCCCCTGGGGATCCACCGTGCATGTGAGCGTTCAGTAGAACACAGCTGAGGCAACCACACACACACACACACACACACACACACGCACACACACTAGTGTCTTGAAATCATTTCCACTGTAGCTTTTTACACCAATTCCTCCTAACTTCATTCCATGTTGTTGCTTTCATGATGTTATATGAATTACTGTGATATCACTGGCACACTGAAGCTTTATGTACTTTACTGGTTTACGATGGGAGGAAAGAAAATAAGAATACAATGAAATCTGAAGTTCTCTCTGCCATTAAGTCAACCAGGCTATCATTCATCAATGTTCTCAATTTTATGAAATCAGGTGTTTCATTAAAATATTATATACTTTGAAGTGGTTGTCTTATACTGTCCTCCTCACAGGAAGAGTTTTTAGTGAGAACTGCATATGTTTAAAGTGCAAGATATGTTTAGATAAACATACACACAGTGAAATGATTGTTACAGTCAAACTAATACACTTATCTCCTCATACAGTTAGATATGTGTGGTAAGAGCAAATTACCATTATACGACACAATGTGCCTAACATAATCATCAGGCTGTGAATTAGATCGCTGGACTCACTCATCTTGGATAATGCATCATTGTACTCTTTGACTAGCATTTCCCCATCCCCTCACCTCCCCGCCTCTATTGTTTGATTCTGTGTATCAACATTTTTACATTCCACATGCAATGCGAGTCATCTATTTTTCTGTCTTTCTGTCTTTGACTTACCTAGCTTAGCGTAATGTCTAAGAGGGCTGTTTTTATGACTGACGCAAGTATTGTACAAGCCCCCATTCTGAAAACTTCAGCTTATTAGGTGAATACCGCAGGATGGCTGAAATCGGTATTAAAAGGCAAGCCCAACTAAGATTGTAAAACAAGTTCAACCTGGGACTTCTGGTACCAACACAGAAATAGCAGTATTCTTAGACCTCCTTGAAGCCATAATTCTAACAGCATTACGTTCTTGCCAAAAGTTTCCACTTCGGATTGATCCCCACTGAATGTTAAAAAGATAGGTGTATCAATTAGGGCAGCATATCCCATATGTGGAATGTTAGTGCTGGTTTATAGAGGAACTGCTTTTATTTTATTATGTTTTATGAGTTTTATTTTTCTGTAAATTAGAAATACAAAACTATGACAAAAAGATCTTTAACTTTGTATATATTACCGGTTTATCTGTTTCCATTTTATATAAATGAAGTATTTTTAAATGAGCCAATTAAAGCCACACACTTGTACTTGCATTGTTTTTGCTACACACCAATGAGCAATACAAACCAAACTCCATACCACCTCTTATGAAAATATGAGCTTGGGAGACAGATGTGGCAAAAATTGTGAGATGGTTGTTTTAATTACTAAGGTTTGAGAAATAAAATGGCAAAAAGTGAATCTTATATATGAATGGATCTCACAGTAAATATACAGAATACACATATATCTGTGGGAAACAGAAACAATGTGACCAGCAGGGCCACTGGGAGAACAGAATCCTGCTAAATTATAGCAGAAGTCCTTATGTAATTGGATGTTGATTAAATGATGCTGATCAATGGTTCTCCATCTCTTCTCCTCAATAACAAATGCAAATGGTGGACAATGTTCACACTCAGGATCTGCCTTCGGGTGCATGATCAGTGCTAGGTGTGGTCCTCAGTGAACCAGCTATAAAGCCATCATGCCTCCTGATACACATATGATATAGAATGAAAGAAGAGGGGATCACAGTAGCTGCTATGATCAGAAATCCCAGAAGAGGCAGAACTTGCTCTGAATGTTGAAGCATTAAGGCAGAGGATTTAAGCAAAAGTATGAAGAGCCCACAGCAAGAGCAGACAGCCTGAGCAGGGGAAGGCAGCAGAAGACAAGATTGGAGGGCTCGGTCAGGGCTTTGAAGCTGACACTGAGCAGTTCAGACTTGTCCAAATTCAGCTCATTCTATTTCTGTGTGTCCTGATATTAGGTAGCTACTTAGATATTAGTAGGCATGGAGGATGAGAGGCCAAACCCTTCACTCTCAGTCAAGTCAATAAAACCAAGAACTGGAAGCAAGAATCTAATTTCTGGCCAAAAGAAAAGGGTCTTGTATCATCTCTCTGTCCCTGGGAGGAGAGGTGAACATTCTACACTTCCCAGGTCATAAACAGATAACTGTCTAAACCTGACTCCAGGAGCCCAAAGTCTTATCAGATTACTGTCTAGCTAGAAGCTTTATGATAAAATCAAAAACATACCATTGCTCCCTCTTGTAAGAGTCAATCCAAACAGACCTGTCAATCACCTGAACAGGACAAAATCCCTCAGGAAACATAGTTTCTTCTGAAGAATTTGGAAACAGTATAAAATCTACCTATAGTTGAGGTACGCTCGCCTTTTGAAAGTGTGCTTTGCTTTACTCTAATAAAATGTGTCTTCTACACTGCTCTCTAGGTGTCTCATCATCTAAATTCTTTTGATGACAATCACAAGCACCGGGGTACCAAGGGTAATCCAGACAGAGATCCTCCTGACACCAGGAGGATAGCTTTAGTATTTTTAAGTGGGCATGTTAAAATGACTGTAAGTAGCCATGTAATTCCCTTGATTTTTTTTCCTTCTGGGCCACAAAACCTAAAATATTTGATAATCTAGTCCTTTCCTTAATAAGTTTGCCAATCCTAGCTTTAAAAAATTAAATAAATAAAAATTAAAAACAAAGAGCCACTAAGAGTTTCTATGCAGACATGTCAGAAAGAAAAGAATGTCTTAGGTAGTGTTTTGGAGAGGAAATATATGTGGATGCAGTGGACAGGAGAGTAAGTAGAAGGGGGCATAGGAACTGAGGTGGTAAAATGAAGGAAACGGTGTGAGCAGTGGAGTGGGGGAAAAGCTAGCTTTGTGGAGCATCCCAGCTAGAAGCAGCAGGCTACCAGACTCCATTCAGAGAAGATAATCTGGACGGCAGCCCTCCAAAGATGCTCACATCCTAATCATGTGGCTCTGTGAACGTTGCCTAACTTGGAAAAACAAACTTTATAGATGTGATCTAACGGAGGTTCTTGAGATAAGGATATTATTATCCTGGATCATCCAGATGGGTGATTGAAATCATAAAGATTCTTACCAAAAGGAAGCAGGAGGGTCAGTCAGAAAAGGAGAATGGTCATGGAAGTAAAAGTCTAGAGAGCAACGTGTATGGAAGAAGCCAAGGAGTGCAGGTGGACTCCAACAGCTAAACACAGCAAGGAAATAGAAGCCTCCAGAAGGAATGCCACCCAGGCAACGCTTTGATCTCCAGAACTATAAGGTAAGAGTTCATGTTCAGAAAACGCTCAAATCTGATATTCTTTGCAGATGTCCCTTGGAGCTTATCATTTATAACAGAAAACCACGGAGAGAGAGGCCTCAGCAAGCCCCTAGCTGCATAAACAGCCAAATCCATTTTCCCTGCCAAGAGCCCACTCTGCTTCCTGATGGCAGTTCAGGTTAACTGTTGGGTCAGTGGTTCTCTTTTAAATCACTACTTTTCCCTCTTGGATAAGGGGCTGTTAGTGGACCGTGCGTCCTGAGAGGTAAATGAGAGAGAACCTGGAAGGCAGCCTGTGAGGATCTTACCTTTCAGAAACATTGAGACGTCCTCCAGTTGAGGCACATTGTCCTCCCTGTAGCCACAGTACTTAGTCAGCAGGGGGAAGTTTTTCAGATACTCCCGGCAAGCGTGGGTTGGGTAGAGTTTGGAGAGCTCCCGGAACACAACGCCCCAAGTTTTAGTTTCCTCTTCCGTGTACTCCACCCTGGGTATGGGCTGACCACTAGGCAGGCAGGAGGGGAGACAAATGGATCAGCTTTAGACCACTAGGTTTAGGGTATTCTGACATTAATACAAGTCAGGTTTTTAAAACACTGGAACACCTGAGTGCCCAAAGGATCTCAGCAAATATTTTGTCTTAAATGCCAATCTTCAATTTCATTTGTGTATTTGGATCTTTGTGTGAGTTTTTAATTAACGATAAGATTTACGTTTTTTTGTGGGTGTGGGTGTCCATCTGTATGTAGGTCTGTGTGTGTCTGTGTGTGTGTCTGTTTGTGTGTGTGTGTGGTGTATGGTGTATATGTGTGGTACAAGCATATGCATGTGTGTGGCGGTGCATGGCCTGTGCATGCACAAGAAGAGGGCAAGAAGAGAAGTTTGTGTGTCCCACTCTATCACACCCCACCTTATTTCCTTGAGACAAGGTCTCTCATCAAACCTGGAACTCACCATTATTTTACTACATTCTCTGGCCAGCAATCCACAGCACTCCTCCTGTCCCCACATACACTCAGGACTGAGGGTACAAGCACACAGCCATACCCAGTTTTTTACATGGGTGCTAGAGATCAGAACTCAAGTCCTCATGCCTGCCTAGCAAGTGTTCTTACCCACTGAGCCATCGCTCCAACCCCAAAGGTTTATGTTCTTAAGCTGAGATTGGCAACAAGTAAGACTTCTGGGCTCGAAGGGGGCAATTTAGATGAAAAACTGCTCTGGGAGCCTTTTCTGCAATCACAAGAAAACAATAATAAATGGACACTATCTATTAAAAATAAAATTGCTTCATGGGCTTTCTTCGTCCCCTATCCAAACTCACCACAATTTCTAAGTGTAATTTTGAGCATAAATATTAAATACTTATGCTGAATTTTAAGGTGAGAGTTTTACAAACTACAAACTAAGGGTTATTTATTGCAGGTCATACTGAAAGAAAGGCACATGAAACCCTCTTAGCTCAGAATGAGGCCTAACAAACTTTTCCTGTAAAGGGCCAGGAAGTAAATACTGTAAGCTTTGAGTCATGTGATCTCTGTCACAATTTTGCTACTATATCTCAAAATCAGCCATAGACAGTAAGAAAAAACGTGAACATGGATATGTCCTAATAAAACCCTACTGGCTTGTCAGTTTCAGTGTACTGATAACTGGGTTTGATTATTGAGAGGTCATCTTGGACCAGAGTAGTCATGGAGAGCTCCCAGGGGAGGCACAGCTTGACAACACTGGCTGCAAAGGATCTGCAGTTCCCTGACAAAATGGTGATAAGAACTACTGACCTAACAGCAAGCAGTAGCCATGAGCAAAGAACATGGCTCCCAATGTCACCTGGGACCAGCAGGATGAGGGACCATGGCTGTGCGCTTTTGAAAGCTATTGAGTAAGGGACTAGAATATGAATTTAGCCTCTGACTGTGATATCTATTCTGAAGCCAGGCATGCCCATAATTTCAAAACTTAGGAGGCTTGGGCAGAAAAATGGAGAGTTTAAGGACAGCCTAGGCATAAAGCAAATTCCAAACCAGCCTGGCCTACATGAGAGTCTATCTTGGGACTGGAGCAATTATATATTCTGAGCTAAAGTTTGAGAAAACCTCTTATGATGTGAGTAACATCTACCCCGGCATATCCCCTCCACTACACACCCTGGCCTCTTATCAGGAATTCTGCCCGTATACTCAGCAAGTAGATAGATAGTTTGATGATAGACAGATAAAAGATGATAGATGATAGATAGATAGATAGATAGATAGATAGATAGATAGATAGATAGAAGATAGATAGATGATAGATAGATAGATAGATAGATAGATAGATAGATAGAT